TCCTTGAGTAATTGTCTTAGTTTTATTTACCCCTTTTGAGATTTTATTTGAAGCCACGAAACCATCGTGACAACGTGTATTATTTATTATTTGATAATTGTCTAAGTTATAAAATACAAAATTTAAATCTTTTACATGTTAAAATTTATTTTTTTATCATTTAATATAACTTCTAAAATTCAACAATAGATGCTGAAATTATTATGTCTTTTAAAAGATATTATCATAACTATTATATTTGTTAAATTTTATTTTTTAATTATTATTAAATGAATTTTATTAAATATTTTATTAATACATATATTTTTTAGTTAGATATTAATACAAGTTGAGGCAGATCAAGATATAGGACAAGCAATTTAATATATTATTCAAGGTTAAAAGGAAATAACAACTAAACAATTCAAAATTATTGCTATCATATCAAAATTCTTCCTTTCAATTCTGATATTAAATTAAATGATGAGACTGATAATTTAATACTTAAAGTACTTCATGATACATTTAAAGTTTTTCACCTTTTTAATACAATAAAAGTAAAGAATTTCTTACCATTCCTGAAGAAAATATTGTTTTTGAAAATCTTAAAGATGATCAAATTATAGCAGATTTTGTAAATACTTTTAAAAAATCTGATGAAGAGAATATTAATGATATTGATAAAATGGATGATAATACAGAAGTTCTAATCATTAATAATAATGTAACATTAAAAAGTTTAAAAAATATTCATATATTTTTTCTTCATTAAAAAGATTTGAATGAATATATAAATTAGTAAATACAATTGAAAATTTGTTAAAAAGAAAAAATTAAATTTAATATAGCAAACTATTATAAATCAGTATTTTAATTAATAATAATTATTAAAATACATATATTAAAAATAATGTTTTTTGAATTTACTTATTTTTTTAATTATTTATTTTTTAATAAAAATTTTTAAAAATATATTTTCTATAAATGCACATTCTTTATAAATGTATACTTATATTTAATTCTAAGAGAATACATTTATAGTGAGTTGACTGTATATGTATTCGTAAAAAATATGCTTATAGAGTAATAAATATCAATAGCGAAACAAGTAATAACAATTGAAAAAAGTAAGACCTAGCGTACTTTTTCCTTTTTAAATATATTCATCACAGTACAGACTTCTCTAATGATTAATTATTGAAATAGGAATAGGAACTTTTAGATTTCTTTGAGAATATCATTATTAATACTATTTATAGATATTTTCTTGATATGAAAATCAAAGGATACACTTTCAGCTTCAGATCTTTTTTTGCAATCAATATTGATGACTTTATGAACGGCACATAAAATATAAAAGTTTTAAGTTAAATATGCAAGTAAAATAGCTAAATAAAAAAATCATCATATACCAATCAAACTATGTAATAAAGATATTATTTCTTTAATTTACTATAAAAAGATTCTAATGATTGTTGAAATGACTTATAAAAGTAGGGGAGAATGTTGCTGATTATATAAGTCCTATTTCTCAGTATTTTTTATATAATTTTTTTTAATATAACTTTGTATAAAAGGAATAGAACAAGAATTAATAGTATCTTAAATAAGACTTTCATATTCAATTTTTATTCTTTTATATATCATTGCGATTATGATGTCTCAGGTTTTTTCATGAATTTTTTGTATTCACATTTTCATAACATAAATAATACAAAGGATAACTTGGCACTTTGATTACTAGTGATCATGCTGAAAAATATTTTTTTAATACCTTTAGCTTTGATATTACTATACTCTGAAAATATATAATAAGAGAGACCAGTGACAATACTTCAGTTAGGGGTATTTCCAAATTTGAAATCGATTCCAGAATATTCTGCTAATCATGTTGATCATTTTATATAAGAAATTTGTAAAACTTCAATGATCTATAAAATTTTTTTTTTTTTTTTTGCAAAACTAAATGCTAAAATATATGTTTTTAAGTATGTAGATTCAAAATCCATATGGATCCACAAGACCTTACAAAACAGTTTTTTCTCAAATTAAATTTAAAACTAAGCTTTTTATATATGCTAATTTTATAATTAATAATGAGAAATTCAAAACAAAATGCTAAAAATTTACCTTGTTTATTTGGTCTTTTTGTCAATAGGTATCCAGAAAATCAGTTAGTATAATGTGAAACTAAAGAAGATCAAAGATGGCGATATGCATTAGCTGATGCTGTAATAAAAAGAATAACAGAAGTAGCTAAGTATTTTCCTGAGTTATCTTTATTATTTGATTCTTTAAAAAATTATTCTTTATGTGAAAAACATTACAATTAAGTTGTCACTAAAAATTCTTTTATTAAATAATTAAAAGTAAATGATTCAATTTTTTTAGGTTCAGAAGAATTGCAAGCTCATGATTTATTTGAAAAAATTTTTTCTGATTTTGAAATTCAAGTTTCTTTACCAGATCTAATGCATAAAAGTCTTTTGAAAAGAATTGATGAATTAGAAAATCTTAATAGGTAATTATTATTTAAAAATGAAGAATTAAAAAAGAGGTTAAATGAAAGATTTAACGACCAACAGGATTATATTGAGTCTATAATAGAAATTACTAAAGGAAATGAAATAATATGTATGAAGATATAGCAGGTTTAATGAAAAATCATGAGTGATTCTGTTTGGATAGCCTTTTAAAATATTCTCCTTTCAAATGACTTGCTGAACGAAATCCAATTATTGTAAAATTTTTAGAAACTCTTACTCACAACAAAAATGAGCATCGACAAGAAGGAAAAAAGCTTTTTAAGTGTGCAGTAGCAGTTGATGCTATATATAGCTCAAGATATTTAAAATATGTATCTGCTATTAATTTAGCTGCTTTAATAATTAAATATTCATTGGCAAGGTCAAGAATGATTATCGACATTGATAATCATTTTATTAGCTCTAGTAATTATATAAAGTTTACCAATTGGTTAGAAAATTTAGCTAAAGAACAATTATCATTTCCAGAAGGTCTTTTATTTTTAGCTTTTGATAATAAGCAAAAAGGTCAAAAAATTATTTAGATCGTGAACATAATACGATTATATTCTATACTGTTACAAGTTTTATTGCTTTTAATTATGATCAAAATAATAATATTCAAGCTACAGATCCTTGGTTACATTTTGAACTCACCCAAATACAATATGAGAAATTATTTTATTTAACTTCAGATATGAAAAATGAAATTCATAAAGAACTTACTAATTATCTTTTTATTATTTTAAAAGAGCTTTGTATTGAGAAAAGTCAAGAAAAAAATACGATTGATGAATTGGTATATAATCAAGATCAAACAGGATATAAGAAAAAATGCTTAGTTTGTCAAACTTCTAATATCAATAATAAGAAGCGGATTTATCCTATATGCTGTAGTAAATTACCAACCATTGCTAAGATAAGTCAGCAATCTAACGAACTACTTGAGATTATAAATACCATCGAAAAACTACTAGTTATTCATTCTCATACATTTAAAGGATCAAGTAAACCACAAGCTGGATATACCACAAATATTTATTCCAGATCTAATAGGAATTAATTCAAACTCGATTGCTAATGTTCAAAAAGTTCTTGAACATATTGAAGAAATATCTAAATTAAAGATGGTAATCGTAAATGAATTGTAATCACTTGTGATGGAGTATCATATCATCATATACAAAAAAATAAAAAAGGATTTTTCTTGGCTTATATTAGTTCTGAGTGCTATTCACGAAGAAATGAACATGATAAAAGCATTAGTTGAGTTAAATTAGAATATTGATATTAAAGATTTTGCTCAATGTCAAGGGTAGTGTTTTGCAAAATCAGATCAGATCGAATTTTATCCAAATCTGATCTGATCTAATTTTCATTTTTCAGGATCTAAATTCGATCTGAATCTGATAGATCCATTGAAATTCAGATCTGATCTGAATCTGACGGATCAAATTTCAAATCCAAATTTTATAGATCAGTTTAAATCCAAATCCGATCTGATCTGAATCCAAAAGCTTTATTGAAAAAACAAATTTTCAGTTCTAAATGAGATCTGAAAATGTTTCTTTTCAATGAAAGAAACCTTTTTGGCTCTAAAAGTGTTTCAAAAAGTCATTCCTTTTTATTGAAAGAAACATTTTAGGCTTTAAAAGAGATCTGAAAATTGGTTCCTTTTCAATGAAAGGAACTTTTCAGCTTTAAAAGAGGTCTGAAAATAAATTCCTTTTCAATGAAAAGAACTTTTTAGCTCTAAAAAAGGTCTAAAAATTCATTTCTTTTTAATGAAAGAAACAAATTTTCAGATCTAAAAGCGTTTGAAAATTCGTTTCCTTTCAATGAAAGGAACTTTTCAGCTTTAAAAGAGATCTAAAAATTGGTTTCTTTTCAATGAAAGGAACTTTTCAGTTCTTAAAGAGATCTGATAATTGGTTTCTTTTCAATGAAAGGAACTTTTCAACTCTAAAAAAGATCTGAAAATTGGTTCTTTTTCAATAAAAGGAACTTTTCAACTCTAAAAGAGATCTGAAAATTGGTTTCTTTTCAATGAAAGAAACTTTTTGATTTTAAAAGAGATCTGAAAATTCGTTCCTTTTCAATGAAAGGAAACAAATATTTAGCTCTAAAGAAGTCTGAAAATTCGTCCCTTTTCATTGAAAAGGAACTTTTCAGCTTTAAAAAAGTTGAATTCAGATCTGACAGATCAGATCTGAATCTGAATCTGAATCTGACAGATCAGATCCAAATCTGAATCCAAATCTGACAGATCAGATCTAAATCTGAATCTGAATCTAACAGATCTAATCTGATCTAAATCTGAATTAGATCCAAATCTGACAGATCTGATCTGAATCTGATCTGTCAGATTCGGATTAGATTCAGATTGATCTGAATCTGTGCGGAACACTAGTTAAGGGTATCAAACCAAAAATCAACTTCAGTTTTTCAAAAAATATTCTGATTATCATAAGTTATGGGACTTGATATGTAATATATATAGGCATGCAATGGCTTCTGAATTAATATGACCATATATTATTTTCGAAGAAAATCCTTCTGTTGAAAGTTATTTAAAATGGACGCAAGATCAAACTGATTTTACATTTAAATTAAAGTATGAACAAATTTTTTTTATTTACAAGCAATCATTAACTTTTGTATTGAAGTTTATTTTAATAGGCCTTCATTAAGAATTGCAGCTAGACGAATGTTTGCATCTATTTGGTCTGCTCGATGGCATCCAATTTATCAGTTAATTGAGATTACTGATGAAGAACAAATGTTACGATTAAAACCTGAAATATATAGTTTA